CTTAACTGACCAGTCTTGAGAATTTATAGCAGGGCTTGGTCAAGTTCGCTTTTTTTTTTTTTTTTAAATTTGGAGAGAAGAATACAGATCAACAAGGTCTAACAATTGCCTTTGCTGGTTATTCTTCATGGCACCTTCCCCTTTAAGATTCTTCTTTTAAGTTTCATCTCTTGGGGTATACAGTCTTCGGCATTTTGAAGGCTGATTTTCTCCCAGGTGGTTGGGCATAGTTCCAGGGATATGTAGCATGTGTTACAGGCGTCAAGTATGTGTGCTTCTTAATTACCACTCTTCCCAGCTGACTGTACAAAAACTGAGCACCTGGGGCCTAAAAAAGAGAGAGTTCAAATTAATATTAATTCGAAATACTTTCAGAAAACAGCCCTAGGGAAATATGAGTGCTGATTGATTAAAAATCGTGTTTCTACAAGTTAAACTCAATAGAAACACGGAACTAGCACGAGCTGTTGACGTAATGAAGGCGCTAGCAAAGAGAATTTACATTTTGATGATCAAAGTAAACAAGTTGTTTCCCTTTTTGTCATTGCAGTGTTTTTCTGTAGACAACATGTTCTCTGTGTTTCTATCAAGTTGTAGAAACACTCATGAAAGTTTGGGAGAACTTGACAAAACTGTGGAAACACTCACCAACAGCTGGTGTTCCCACAGCATTTCTTGTTCTCCCAAACTTCCACTTGTGTTTCTACTAAACAATTAGATTATGAGCTTGAAATTTCTATCGCATGATAGTTGACGAGGGTGCAGCCCGAGTCAACCATCAAGCATAGAAATTGAGAGCGAATAATCTAACTGTTTCAACTATAAATCTACTAGTTAAGAAAACTTAATCTAAATCCTTTTCACAGACAATTCTAAAATTCCAAGAAGTGGTAGCATTCTGCTATGCTACTCACTATCTGTCACAGAATAGATAGTGAGTAGCCTAGCCAATCAAAGAAACAGCATTCATGATAGAACGCTAGTAGATTAATTTTATACTAAAACTCGATAGAAACATGGTACATGTTTTCTATTTCTTAAGTAAATGCTGGTCAGCTAACGGTTACGTGACACTTGGGTCAATCAGACAGGACCACACTTCTGAAGCTTATTTTTCTCCCTGGGAAGAGTTGTGGGGTGGGGGGGGGGGGGTGGTAAACCCATGTGAAAAGGCTGAGGGGATGCCCACATCTCCCTTAGGAGTGTAAATGTGGATTTTGGTCTCACTTACATGTAGAATACATGTAGAATGTGCAGGATGAAACCGCACTGTTTTTAGCTGTCAGGATATCTTTAGGGTTACACTCAAAGAAATAGTTAAAAAATTATGTCTGTCCATTTCAAGGTGGAATCTTCTAGAGGATGAATAGAGTTTGAGCCACACCCAGATTAGTCTCTTTAGAAGGAAATTCTGAGGCACTGGAGGATGTCTCGAAGGCTTCAACTTTTCAGGGAAAGTATGACTCAAGCTAAACTGGATTTTTCAGAGGGGCTCAGGGGGTGGGTGGTGTCAAACCGAAACACCCTCCATGAGCGATTGAAGCAGGGATAATTGGATAGATATTTTTTTAATTAAACTATATTTTTTGTTAGATCTCATTAATAACAGATTGCTGGTACTCTTTTAAGTTGATATATACATGTAGATCGATTTGAATCAAATAGGACGGTATGCTGGCTGATTATCAGTAATTCACTAATTCCTAATTCAAATACATGTAATTCATCTTAATTAGTATATACTACACAAGTGAATTGTGCTTTCTACGCATTCTGATTGACCAGCTCGGAGGTGAAGAGCAAGTAATATTCACCTCTAAGCAAATGGAAAAAAACAAAATGGCTCCACACTTTGCTTTGGTTACCAAGGAGCAAATTTTATCAATAAACAAGGCTGATTATTCAACTTGATTGGTGTATACTAAAAACAGTTATTCACCTCAGTGTCGGTGAAAGTGTTGGATATTTACCTCACTGCCTCATGGCTCAGTAAATATCCACCACCTTTCACCCACTTTGGTTAACATTAATAATTATTGCCAAAAGCCATCTTAAAGTGTAAACAAATTGGATAAAAAGATTCTGCAGAGCAGAATAGAGCATCTATTTTGGGGAAGAATTAAGAAATACAAGATTACAAGGAGCGTGTTTTAAAAACACGAAATGGCAAAAATTATGACGAAATGGCACTACGCTACATTGAAAGAGTCAGTGTTGGATAAGGGTGTCTGTAAGGTTAACCATTACAATTATTGAGGAATGAGAGCTAGCCTCTAGCTAGATCTATCAAGTCAGTGATATATATAAGCTAACCTGAGCGCTATTTGGCTATAGGCTAACCGCAGTGCCATTTCGTCATTTCGCTGATTCATGTTTTAAACACGGCCGATTACAAGGAGCGAAGTTGTTCGTCGAATAGGATGTCAATTAAGAAAAGATATTTGCCATTGACTCTGGTTTGAGCATACATGTATATATTCCTTTATACATGTAACTGTCATTGACAAGAGGCGATAGTATTGATATTTATTCTAAGCTTTCCATTTATTTCGAAATTTAATCATAAATAAAACACGCCGTCTTACTCGTTTTCTAATTGAGAAGTAACGTACTGTACAGCCGAACCTCGATTATCCAGACTCGTTGGGACTAGACGAAATGGTCCGGATAATCGAGGGTCCGGAAAATCGAAAATATCAATATTAATGAAGAACAAAACTGTTTAAATAAGGCAACATTTAATCGTGAAACTTTTACAAATCATTTGGAAAACAATATGGTCTACTGTACATCTTGAACCACTCAACTCTGAGAAAAGAATATTAAAAAGAATATTGCTACGGATCTTGATCATGACTAATTAATATTCGTGAAAAAATTGAGACTAGAGAAAAAGTCCAGATAATCGAGAAATCCGGATAATCGAGGTACGGATAATCAAGGTTCGACTGTAATAAGCTTACAAGTTACCTACCTTATGGTCTTGCTTTGTATGTCTTGGCAACGAACGCGTTTCTGGTTTATCTGGTTTGCTTTCGTGTCTTTCATGAGCTCGATAAGTTCGATCACACAACGTTTCCTCCTCAGTCATTGTCCCATTTATGTAAGACAGATAAAGCTCAATATTCCAGAAAACGGTATTCAAAAATACGAGCTCGTCGTTTGCTGTAACCACAACAAAACGAACAATCATGCAAATCGCAAAAAATTGCAAGGCGTCCAGGTTGGTCCCAGTCTCCAGACCGTGCGTTAATATGGCGGGAAGTTCACAAAGCTAAACAAGTTGATGAGAGGAAGATTTTGTTTCCTTGTTTACTTCAGATGGAAAAAAATCGAACTATAATTTGGAGAGCTGCTAATGGAAACATATTGCCTTTTAGACAAGTTAAAGGAGACAATTCAAAGCGATTTTCGAGGTAAGAAACTGAGATTTATAAGCTCATGCAGAAGCATCTCACATCACATGTACTCTTTACGTAACTTATCTTGAGTTTTGATACCGACAGTTTCCAGCAGTTTCAGTCTTATTTATTTTTGTTTTTACTTCGTTGAAAGGGTTTATTTTGAAATATACTTTAAAGTTTTGATGACAAAGGCGAAGTGTTTGGTTTTAAATTTCCTACGTGGTACATGTAGATCAGGTCGAGAATCGATCATCAATATTATTGATGATCGATTCTCGACCTGATCTATCCCAAAAGCTGCGGTCCTACATGCATGAATTTTATTTCGCAGGTCTTGAAGAGAAGTGTAATGAAGCTAACAGCAAGATTCAGGATTTGGAGATAGAAAACAGTCGGGTTAAGAAGCTCAACAATCACCTTCAAGAAGAAAACGCCGGGTATACATTTTAAGATTTTAATATTAGTCACCTTCTTACAACGTACATGTACACTGTTAGTTTAATAGGTAGGTCTCAGGTGATCACTGCTTCTCTTTAATCTGACCACCTTGAGAATACAACCAGTAAACAACTGTAGACTTTCCACCAGAATCTCATCCAGGGAAACTAACTGCTAATGCTCCTTCTTGTTTAGTTGGTATGCAAATTGCAGGTACAGCCTGTAAGTACCAGTTTGGCAGTGTGGAGGCATGGTGCTTATGGTTAATGCACACAGTCCAGATCAAGCAGTCTGGGTTTAAGCCCTGGTCAAGGTGGTGTTGTGTTCTTAGGCAAGACACTTTACTCTCACAGTGCCTCTCTCCACCCACGTGTATAAATGGGTACTGGCAAATTTAAATGCTGGGTGGTAACCCTGCAATGGACTAGCATCACATCTAGGGTGGGGTGCGGGGGGAAGGGGGAGGAGGGGGAAACACTTCTTGTCACCTCACGCTACTGAAACCAGGAATAAGGACCAGCCTGATATACCACTTGGTTTGTATGCTTGGAGGGACCCTGTGATCTTATTAGATTTAGGCACATGTAGCATCTGATTCTGTGGAGAAGGGAGGAGAGGGTGGTAAAACTACATGTT